CTTTGTTTTTGTACCAAAGAAAAATGGAGAACTCCGAGACTGTGTAGACTTTCGAGATTTGAATAAAGTTACAGAGTTTGATGCATATCCTATGCCAAGAATAGATGAAATACTCGATGGTCTTGCCACTGCTGTTTTCATAACTGTAATGGATCTTTGCAGAGGTTTTTGGCAAATTCCCCTTAGTAGTGATTCTAAAGAGAAGACGTCAGTACTAACTCCCTTCGGCACGTTCCAATTTATAAGAATGCCTTTTGGGTTACATGGTGCACCTGCCACCTTTCAGAGAGCAATGGACAGGATGCTTGAAGGAGCTGAAGAATACTCTGATGCATATTTCGATGATTTGGTAGTATTCAGCACTGATTTTGATTCACACCTTCATGATGTCAGAAACATTTTTGATAGATTGAGAAAACACAACTTGACTGCAAAGCCGTCAAAGTGTAGATTTGCTTTTGAAGAAGTTGAATATCTGGGTCACATTGTTGGAGGTGGTACAATTAAGCCAAGTATTGAGAAGACAGAAGCTATACAGAGATTGGAGAAACCTACGACCAAGAAGAATTTGAAAACATTTTTGGGAATGACAGGCTATTTTAGGAAGTTTGTTCCAAAATATGCAGAAATTGCTTTCCCCCTGACAGAATTGACCAAGAAATCCATACCAGTGAAAATACCATGGGGAGACCGAGAACAGAAAGCACATGATCAATTGAAGAAACTATTGTGTTCTGACACAATCTTGAGTAGTCCTGACTTCACAAGAACATTTCTGGTAATTACAGATGCATCAGATGTGGGTATTTCTGGAGTTTTGAGCCAAGATTTTGACGATGGAGAGCACCCAATCATGTACTTAAGTCGTAAGTTACTACCAAGAGAACAGAATTATGCAGTAATAGAGAAGGAATGTTTGGCAATCGTATGGGCAGTTCAATACATGAGATACTACTTGTTAGGGAGAAGATTTGTGGTCATAACAGACCATAATCCCTTAAAGTGGCTGAACAAGATGCTGAATACCAATCACAGACTTACAAGATGGTCGTTAACCTTACAGCAATATGACTTTAAGGTAATACACAGATCTGGCATAAACAATGGATGTGCTGATGCATTATCCAGATTGTAACAAATTGTAGCAAATGAGAATGTAGAAGATATAATAGTGAAAGAGACACTTATTTGTTTAGATTTGGTGAGACAGTGATAATTTTATACTTGAGAGTGAAATTTTTTTTAAAAAAATAAAAAAGAATTTTGCTTAGATAAACAATCTGAGAGACTTTTGTAATCCCAAAGGAACTGAGGATTTTTTCCCTTAAGCTGGCTGAGTATCGCCATCTCTAAAAGGGGGGAGATGTGATATAAAATTAAGAAAGTTGTTGTGAATAGTAAATCACAATGTTTTTATGAATTCAAATAGGCTTATAATTAGTGAGGCTAATCAACAGAGGTCAAAAACACAGAAACAAAGTGCACATAAGTTCAGTTGGGAAAAATTGCATTGAGAGTAAACAGGCAAAAATGCAGAGAAGAGATGAGATGAGCTGGGAAGAAATGAGATAACTAGAAATAAGATAATTAGGATCACAGATGAAACCTAGTTAGAACTAATTAGAATTAAAAGTAACTATCAACATTACAATACATGAAGTACTCTACATATATATCAACATCGACAATCGTTACGTCCGGGGCGCCCCACAAGGAGATAACAACGAGGACTCCGTAAGGTAATATAGTAGACGGCTTCTTTGGCAATAATGAATAATAATGAAATGGTACCTGCATATATAGAACCCCGTGGTTCATGTTTGGTACACGGGAGTTGGTCCGTATTATTCCAATTGCGCAGCGTTTCCTTCATGCATGTCTCTTCCTCCCTCCCATAGTCACCATCGTTGGTAATAGCAGCCAATAAAGCATCTTTGGACCAGCAACTTTCCCTTGCTTCGACCCATGTTAAGTTGTGAGTTTGGTTGGTAAACAACCCATAGCACCTTCCATCACATTCGTACCAGCCATTTGGACATGCTTCTGAAATAAAAATGATATGAAAAAGTAAACAATCCTTAACATCTACATGTACACCACGAACAACTCATTTGGGCAGTATCTGAATAACAAGGAAAACAAGTAATTGAGTATTCCCTGTACACTCGCACCATCCATTAAGCATGCATCTGGAATAAAAGTCTCAAAGTAGAAAAATCGTAAATCTGCCTGTACTAGCGATTTTAGCAAGCATCTAAAATAAAAGAAATAAAAAGTAAACGACCTGTAAAATATATGTTCAATCGTACCAGCGATTAGGGCGTGCATGTGAAATAAAATATTTTGAAAATGATTATATGTAACTTAACATCTGACTCAACTCAACAATACATCAATTCGCGATCACAACAATATTCTTCCCTCCCGTGTTGGAAAGCTCTCATTCAGGGCACAGATAACTTTACATCTGGGTTCTTTCCCATTGGAATATATAGGGTCTGATTTTTTAACGCAATATTTATATATAACTAAGAAGTGTATAGAGGATGGAATTAAAACCAATGCTACATTTCGTCCCATTATTTCCACATTTAACTTATTACAGGTTTTGATATAAGTATACTATCTTTCTAAATTTTTCACGAGGAATTCATTTCTGAGGTCCATTTTAGTGGATCTCATCTCTTTTGGAGATATCCAGTGCCACATAATTGTTATAAGTGCAAAACATTTTTGGAGAAAAATATTCTAAAAATTATCTTGACAAAATCCGAAAAATTGAAAAAAAAATTTGAAAAATATAAACCATCGAATATCACTTTTAAAACCATCAGATATCACTTCGAAACCATCGAATATCATTTTTTGAGAAGTGATATTCGATGGTTTGAGAAGTAATATTCGATGCTAAAAATTTTTTTGCTAAAATATGATATCTTGATTCACATATCAAATATAACTAATGATAGGAAATCGTTTCATTGTCTTTTTGCTGAATTAATAATAAATCAAAAGAAAATTTTATTTGGAGCCTGTTAGAGAGGCCTCATTATCATCTGGTCGCTAATAGTTGCGTTGCGTCTGCGATGCGATTGCGATCGCAATTTGTAACGCATGCGATGCGTGATATTATCAATTGAGCGCAATCGCAGACGCAAAGCAATCGCAAAACAATTAAAACGTAAGTTGCGATCGCAAGTCTAGAGTGTATTTTGGCGCGAAATTTAAAAGGACACTGGCGCTAGTTTTTGACATTGATTGATTGAAATTGATAGAAATCCAATAATTGATATGATTTGATTGATTGCTCATGCATTACACTTGTGCAAGACATAAGTGCGACAAAATGCAAATCGATTTACATTGAACAGACGATAGTCGAAGAAACATGTCGAGGGCAAGGAATTGGACAAATGATGGACAATAATTATTAGTATCTCTCATTGAGAAGGATGCAAATATTCTTTTGGCATCACTTAGCTGTCAAATAACAATACAGTCACAGGATAGTTGCTGGGCAAGGGTAGCTAAAAAAATAAGTTCACTTGGTAGGGAAATGAGGACTAGAAAAAACGTTATGTTAAATAACTGTTAAAACGGGAAGTTGTCATGTTACTGAAACTAACTGAAATAAAATGAACTTTTGGTCGTTGTTGTCTGTGTTCCACAATGCTTCTATCTAAAATCCGTCAACATAATTTTTCAACAGACAATGAAACGATAACAGCTAATGAGTTTTCTATTAATGGTGGTGTATATTTTACATTTGATACACATGCCAGAAAATTGCAAGTTGTGGGTTCCATATCGATATATGTTTAAATATGTCTATAGTGTATTGCATTTATTTTCCTTTGGAACAAAATATGAAACACGTCTTTTGCATTGTGATCAAAGCAAATCATGTTTGAATCAGGGTCGGGATGAAAATGTGAAAATCTACAATTTTGAGACGAACTCTCATTTCAAATTGAAAATCTAACTCTTTCCGACGAGTCAACTTCAATGCGATGGGTGATGCTTGAACAACAGATACAGAGTACATGTCTATGTAAAAAAGAAAATCGTGCTTTTTCATTTTTAAACTATTAAATTTAACAACTTAGTAATTTGCAGTGATATGCATTTATTCTATTATGTAGAATTAACAACGTTTCCATTCATATTCAAACTCGATCAAATAAAATCTCTTTAATATTTAATCTATATCTGGGAACATGGTACGGATCATTCAGAAAAACGAGCACCTCAAATACTGTACAAAGATACCACAGGAGTTCAACCATTGTTTTAACAAATCTTCAAAAAGGTTTATAACCTCTATTAACAATGCTCTCGGCATTCTGTATCTCTGGAGCATCTCGATGTCATTTAGTGAATCGAGTGGGTTAAACCTATCTCGAAATACTCTTCGGCCAATAAGATTGTGGTGATCCAGAATGAAACGAAACATCTTGGTGTTCTTGTACTTTTGCAGACGATGTAGGTGAGGTACATATACACTAGGAATACTCAGAACATTAGTGTAGTAGTGGCAAGATTAATTCACCAAACAAGCTTTATTAGCTAGATAAACGTGATTTTTAAGGATTTACAGGCTCAATTAAATGTATATTTTAATCATATTAAATAAATAAAATTGAACAATTTCTTCGATACTATTGATTAATACTTAACAGGTAGTGAAATGACCGATATAAAACACCACAAAATATCCTTTAACAGAGATAAATAACGCTCAAAGATGAACTAGATTTGCAATTTGATTTGCGACAGGGTAGACGTCGTCGCAACTTTTTGTTTAGTTGCGATCAGAAAATCGATAACTTTGCGTCAGACTTGCGATGCGATGGAATGATAATAACATTTTTGGGAAATGGTTGCGTTGCGATGTCTTGCGATGCGATTCGCATGCGATTTTGCGTTGCGTCCAGATGATAATATGATATTCTGTGAAGAATTAGATTAAATATGGATGGATGGGTGGGTTGTGCAAAGATCGGTAACTTAGCGTGTAGGTATACATGGCCATCAGTGTTAAAATATGACGATGACTATAGGAAAAAACAAAATGTATACATGTTTAGATGGGGAACGGATACTCCCCATCTATCAGAGGTACATTTAGAAAGGAGGCCCCCTAAAAACGATTTTAACAAACCATCAAATGCCATTGGAAAAAAGAAAACTTCAACATGGTCATCTAATAGGGTACTGTACTGTGATCAATGGAACAATAAAGGGACTTGTTCATATGGGGACACCTGCAAGTTTGCGCATAAATGCAAAACCTGTAATAAAAGTGAACATCATGGGAAAGATCATCCTTAGACCGAGTCTTCAAGTACAAAAGATGAATAGGACAGACAGTCGCAGAATAAACAGTCTCCATTTGGTTTGATAGACCCATGTAATACTGATTTCCTTGGTAATTACTATTCAATATCCTCTAAGCATGAGGAATGGGAACGTTTAATGAAGAATGATTGTGATTATGATTATATAATGAATGGTATTAAAAGTGGATTTAGAATCACAGACATTGATAATGAAGTGAAAGTAAAATCTGTATATATGCAAAACCACAAGTCAGCATTTGAACATAGGACATTAGTTGAAAAGGAATTGAAAACCCAAATAAAACATGGATGTTATATCATTGCCAAAACTGTTCCAAAAATTGTTAGTCCACTTGCGGCAATTCCAAAATCAAGTGGAGTGGATGTTCGACTTATACATGATGGTAGTAGACCTGTAGGCTGTGCTATGAATGACTATTCAGAAAGTACTTCTGTGAAATATGAAACATTGGATAAAGCAAAACGTTTAGCCAAACCTAATTACTTCATCGCAAAAATTGACTTGAAAAATGCCTATCGTAGTGTTCCTATATCTTGTATTGACTATTGTATGACAGGCCTGCAATGGGAATTTCAAGGTGATGAAACTGTGACTAATATCTTTGATAGCAGATTGCCTTTTGGGTCTAATCAAGGATGTTCAATTTTTACACGTATATCACAAGCAGTGAAACGTATCATGAATAGGAAAGGCTATTCTGGGATTGTAGCGTATCTCGATGACTTTCTCATTGTACAGGAGACAGCAGCAGACTGTCAAAAGTGTTTAAATGTATTGATTAATCTATTGAGGACACTTGGGTTCCAGATAAACTGGTCTAAAGTATGTGGACCAAGTCAGATGGTTACCTTCTTAGGTGTGGAAATCAATACTGTGGACTGTACGGTCTCATTAGGCCAGGCAAAACGAAATAAGTTACGTGACAAGTTGGAGTTATTTCGTAATAAAAAACATGCATCAAAACGTCAACTACAATCGTTGGTAGGGTCCTTAAGTTATGCAACACATGCGGTTCGTAGAGGCAAATTTTTTCTGCGACGTATATTGGATAATCTCAGGAAGATGAAAGGTAGTAGAGATAAAGTGTTGTTATCTCAGGCATTCAAAAAAGATGTCCAGTGGTGGTGTGCCATGTTGGATATATGCGATGGTACAGTGTATTATAAATACAAAGGAAGTAATCAGTGTATTTGTGGATGCCAGCAGTGATGGTGCTGGGATATTTTCTCAAGGCGATTGGGAATATATATGTTTTGAATTAGATTGGAAAAGTGCTAAACATCTACATATAAATTACAAGGAAATTATAGCTATATGTGCAGCAGTGAATCGATGGGGCACATTATGGAAAGATTGCCATGTCAATATCTACTCTGACAGTTCAGTGGCCAGGGGCATTGTCAATAAAGGGAGGTGTAATCATAATGATTATATAATGCAACTGCTTAGAAATACATTTTGGGCAAGTGCCAGGAATAATTTTACATTCTCTGTGAAATCTATTGGAACTAAAGTGAATATTATGGCTGATACGATTTCAAGACTCCATACATATGGCCAATTATCTCATCTAAGCAGTTTGCTGTCTAATTGGTTCCATGGCAACTATGTATTGTTTCATGTGTTGCATAAACATATGTCAGTGAAAACTGTATTGTCTTTATTACCACAGGTATGTCACTGGCTCTCAAAGAAGAATTACAGCAAGAGGTAGCAAAGTATAGACTACAAGCTTTCTCTGACAATACAAAGAAAACATACTCTTCTCAACGTAATTCGTATTTGCGTTTCTGTAATGAACTTGGATTACAACCTGTCCCAGTAACAGAAGAGACTGTTGCTGAATATGCTGCTTATTTAGCAAGACGTTTGAAATACACAAGCATACCACAATATCTCAATATTGTGAGACTTATTCACTTGGAATGTGGATTTCAGCACCCTTATAAAGATAGTTGGCTAGTTAAATCAACATTGATGGGGATAAAAAGGCAACTTGGTGCTGAAGTTCATAAAAAAGAACCAGTTACCCCCACTTTATTGTCACAAATGAAAGATACATTAGATCTATGTGATACCTTTGATTGTGTTTTTTGGGCTATTTGCCTCGTGTTGTTTTATGGAATGTTCAGAAAATCAAATTTGATGCCTGATACTGTAGGTGGGTTTAACAATGAAAAACAATTTTGTAGGAACTCAGTTAAAATTGACAATCAAGGTAACATACAATTGTCAGTAAAATGGGCCAAGAATAATCAATACAAAGAGAAGTCAAGAGTAGTGCATTTGGTAAACACGTATCCTCATAAATTATGTCCTGTTAGTGCATTGTCAATTGCAATGGCAAAAACACCAGGTAAATGCATGTCAGATCCATTATTTGTAAACCCCCAATCAGGTAAGCCTTTCACAGGTCAGTGTTTTGCAAAGAAATTCAAGAGTTCTCTTAAGAGCTTTGGTAAAGACAGTTCTAAGTTTGGAACTCATAGCTTTCGGAGGGGCTCCGCTGTTTTTGCAATGTCATGTGGAATACCTGGAGAAATAATTAAAGGTATGGGGGATTGGAAGAGTATGGCTTATTTAGGTTACCTTGATGAAATACCATCTAATGTTCAACAGAAATATTGTAAGCAATTCAGTGCTAAAGCAAAACTGTCTGTTTTCTAAATTGACATCGTAGGGTATAAGTTCGGCATCCTAATACTTAATTTACATCTACCACTTTCTTCCTTTCTTTTCTTTTTTTTCAGTGTTTGGGTAGTTGGAGTTTTATTTGTTAATATGTGTGTGTTTAAAGAAATAAAGTTATGATCTCTTAGACCCAAACACTGGTGTTAATAGTTATTATAGGAAGAAAGGATTTAAATGATATTCTGTGAAGAATTGAGATTAAATATGGATGGATGGGTGGGTTGTACCAGGTGCCTGATTGTGCTAAAACACAATATGAATATTCCTAACCAGTAGCAACTTTTGTACAGGAAGTAAAAAATTCAGGCCCCCCCCCTCCCACCCTTTTGTCATATTATACATAAATGTGTAGTTGCATCAGTAGTTCCACAAGTTAATTGATGTTTTCTGCTTTATAAATAGGGATCATACTGTGTTGACATAATGTCATGTGTTGTGAGTTTGTTAATATGTGTGTGTTTAAAGAAATAAAGTTATGATCTCTTAGACCCAAACACTGGTGTTAATAGTTATTATAGGAAGAAAGGATTTAAGAGGCCTCAGAGGCCTCATTATCATCTGGTCGCAAATAGTTGCGTTGCGTCTGCGATGCGATTGCGATCGCAATTCGTAGCGCATGCGATGCGTGATATTATCAATTGAGCGCAATCGCAGACGCAAAGCAATCGCAAAACAATTAAAAGTTAAGTTGCGATCGCAAGTCTAGAGTGTATTTTGGCGCGAAATTTAAAAGGACACTGCTGCTAGTTTTTGACATTGATTGATTGAAATTGATAGAAATCCAATAATTGATATGATTTGATTCGTTGCGCATGTATTACACTTGTGCAAGACATAAGTGCGCCAAAATGCAAATCGATTTACATTGAACAGACGGTAGTCAAAGAAACATGTCGAGGGCAAGGAATTAAGGATGCAAATATTCTTTTGGCACCACTTAACTGTCAAATAACAATACAGTCACAGGATAGTTGCATGGCAAGGGTAGCTGAAAAAATAAGTTCACTTGGTGTGGAAATGAGGACTAAAAAAAACGTTTTGTAAGTCACACATCACTGAAAATAAATAACTGTTAAAACGGGAAGTTGTCATGTTACTGAAACTAAGTGAAATAAAATGAACTTTTGGTCGTTGTTTTATGTGTTCTACAATGCTTCTATCTAAAATCCTTCAACATAATTTTTCAACAGACAATGAAACGATAACAGCTAATGAGTTTTCTATTTGGTCGTGTATATTTTACATTTTATACACATGCAAGAAAATTGCAAGTTGTGGGTTCCATATCGATATATGTTTAAATATGTCTCCAGTGTATTGCATTTATTTTCCTTTGGAACAAAATATGAAACACGTCTTTTGCATTGTGATCAAAGCAAATCATGTTTGAATCAGGGTCGGGATGAAAATGTGAAAATCTACAATTTTGAGACTCTCATTTCAAATTGAAAATCTAACTCTTTCCGACGAGTCAACTTCAATGCGATGGGTAATGCTTGAACAACAGATACAGAGAACATGTCTATGTAAAAAAGAAAATCGTGCTTTTTCATTTTTAAACTATTAAATTTAACAACTTAGTAATTTGCAGTGATATGCATTTATTCTATTATGTAGAATTAACAACGTTTCTATTCATATTCAAACTCGATCAAATAAAATGTCTTTAATATTTTATCTATATCTGGGAACATGGTAGAGATCATTCAGAAAAACGAGCACCTCAAATACTGTACAAAGATACCACAGGAGTTCAACCATTGATCAACATTTTTTGAAAACCCGGGATGAAATGATTGTTCCTATTCTTTGGTGTCAGTTCGTCTTCAAAAAGGTTTATAACCTCTATTAACAATGCTCTCGGCATTCTTTATCTCTGGAGTATCTCGATGTCATTTAGTCAATCGAGTGGGTTAAACCTATCTCGAAATACTCTTCGGCCTATACGATTGTGGTGATCCAGAATGAAATGAAACATCTTGGTGTTCTTGTTCTTTTGCAGACGATGTAGGTGAGGTACATATACACTGGGAATACTCAGAACATTAGTGTAGTAGTGGCAAGATTGATTCACCAAACAAGCTTTATTAGCTAGATAAATATTTAATTGGCGAAAATCCTATGCTCCAAAGAGCACGAAATATTGCAGGCACCAATCTAAGACGTATACAGTATCTGATGCGTTCGCAATATTTAACAAACGTGATTTTTAAGGATTTAAAGGCTCAATTAAATGTATATTTTAATCATATTAAATAAATAAAATTGAACAATTTCTTCGATACTATTGATTAATACTTAACAGGTAGTGA